CCAAGTGCACCACAACGTTTATTGTTTTTATACCTAAAAGAGGAACAATAATTGTTTTTTTTTTACCGGCGATGACCAATAATCGTCGTTAATTAGGATTTAAATTAACTTTACTGTAGAAACTCTTTAAATAATCTTGCATTTTTTCGATAGCTTCTGGTAGGTTATTTGCCAAAACTTTTTCTAACATATTCATGAAGTCGGCGTACTCATCGAGAGACACTAAACCGTCGTTGTCATCGTCGATTTCATTGAATTGGTTTACGTAAAACACGACCTCGCTTGGACTTAACAGTTTCCATTCCTAAACAATTGTTCGTGTACATTTTTTGTGATATTTATTAATTAGTGGGCGAGATAGTGTAACAAATATAACGGCGAAGAACTTTGAAATTTATAAAATAAAAAAAAATTATAACCGAATATGCAATGCATATGGAATATGTAATGTTCATTACAAAACATATTTTCGCTTACTATATTTTGCTTGAAGAGGGTGGCATCGTTGGTGATAACTCGCAAGCTTAAGTAATAGTAATCGGACATGTTGAATAACCATAATGATAATAACATTATTTAAATTATTTTTTTGTGTGTATCAATTAAAATATTACGCTTCTCTGTATCTAATAATAAAAACGAATTATTATCTGATTTCTATTGATTGATAATTACTAACGAAAAAGCCAGTACAGTGGGGTCGGGGCATAGTGAGGAATGATATTTTGGTCCGAGAATAGTTTATAAAAGAGGCATGCCTCATAAATGTCTTAATGCCAACATATGTTTGATAAAAAAGTCTTTTCGATCAGACCATTTTTCACGAATTTATAGCAAATAAAATTGAAAGATGATCAATTTGCAATAATGTTTATTATTCGGGTAGTAGGTCTTCGGGAAATATTATAACTATAAGTGATAAGATCACTTTAAAACAAATGCTTCGATGCGTATCCGTGGATTGTAGGTTCAAACCAGTGTAAAAAATAAAAACACAATGCTGCTAAAAAAATTGTACAATAATACAAAGTTAAAAACAACACGGTTTATATTTGTTCAGCAAATATATCACGGTGCTATAGAATATAACACCCAAGAACATAACATAATATGGTTTAGCAAACATTGTTGTTTTTTGCGCATGTGTCAACGCAACATCGAAGACCCGAAGAAAATACTTATTTTACTGTTTATTCGTCGGTCGTCTTCGGTGCCAATAATAGTCTTACTGATATATGTTATTAAAAGTACTTAATTAAATAATTTTTTTTTTTTAAACAATTAATATAATATGCATTTCCAGAACGCCCTTATTGTTTGCACGGTGTTTATCATAACGTCGGCATGGGTAAGAGTATGATACTGTTTATTATTTATTATTCATCTCGGTTGGTATAAACTAAAAAAATTAAATACATACCGATTATATAAGTAGGGATAAAATCTACCACTTACCACAACTATTGATAGTCGTCATATTTCATTTCAGAGCATCGGACTGAACCGTTATCAATTGAAACGGTTGAATAAACTGTTTGAAAATCACAAAAAGCCTATCAACGTAATTGGCGAGAAGCAAATCGAACAAGTCGTGGAAAAAACCTTCGGAATAGAATGGGAAAATTTTAAAACTAATTTTGAATACGAGTCAAGTAATATACTGATAAACAAATATGTTACCTAGCCAAACTTAAGTCAATTTAAGTGGACACTTAAAGCCGATCTCAATGGCCGTTGAGTGCTTTGCTTTCGGTTCATTAATATTTGCTGAACCCAATGGCTTAATACCGAGTGATTCTTTTAACGTCCTACACTAGTTTACTCTTACAAAATTGCAATTTTGTAGTGTTTCTTTTATGTCTATTTTAGTATATTTTGGTGAAACTTTACCAACGTTTGATTATATAAAATTTAAATGCATTATTAAGTTGAGATTAATTTGTTGAATAATCGACTGGGGGATATCCAATTTTGAATAATTATTTACTAAGTTTAAAATCAAGGATGGGAGGTGGAGTGTAGTTGAGTATTGCGCGCAGATAAAAACAACTTCACACATACCATTCCTCCAGCCCTAAATTTTATAGTTTAAAAGTAATTAGCCAAAACTGATTATCGGCCATTAAAAATGTTCACCAAATTATTCTCAATTTAACAAGTTAATAAAACAAATTCGTTAGCAATTACCCCCACTCCTCTTATTATTATATTTGGAATGCATGCCTAGTACAGGGTGATAACTGAAAAATTAGAATTTTTTAATTAGGTTTGGTTTGTCAGTAACTGTAGCTACCAGCCGTGCACAATATTATTATTGCTAATAATATGACAGGCGCAAAGCCATCGTTACAACTGATATATTAGAAACTCATGATGTAATTAACAGCTTATTGATTTGTATACAGACGAGTCCGATTCTTCTAATTTATATTATTTATTGAGGGCGTTGGCGGAAGAAGACGATAAAAGCTGCGAAAAGATTAAGGTATTCAAAGTCTCATATCAACTAGTTTAAGCTCTAAATGAAATATATACCAACTATTGGCAAATATCGAGACTTCGTTTTAAATTACCTGAAATTTGATACAATTTTCAACAGTCCCTCATGGGTTAAAATGACATAAATTTGAAATTTTTAAACGATTTTATCATGCAGGGGGGATATTCATTCATTAAGGATAACACTATTTTTCTCTTGAAATAATTGCGATTTCGTAGTACTTTACCTAAGAAAATTAGTATCTTATCTATAATAAAACATCTTGTGAACTTAAATAAATAACTATAGTTTGAAATTTAGGTCGGGAGATGGAATGTGGTTGAGTGATATTAAACTTTATTAACTTTAAAAGTTATTACTCAAAGTTGTGTTTCGACCCGTTGAAATTTGTAGCAAACTATTTGCTATTTAAATAAATATTTACATATAGACGTTATCGTTTGAAAAGCTTAAGTTCATATGACTCACACATAAGATATGGTGTTTTTTTTCTACAGAAAATGCAATAAAAATCGGGTGAATTGTTAACTATAAAAGGATAATTTTAAAAAATCTAAGAAGTTGCTGTTATAAGTAATCGCCCTGTATGTAGAATTTGTTTTCAGGTTAAAACACTCACGTCTTCAGAAGTAGACTTTTTTTTGGAGGAGTTCGATAATATATGCGTCGAATTGCATGATCAACCGGGATATCTTACTCTTAAGCAGGTGTCGGAAGCATTCAAATTTTGGAAAACGATAAATTATGCGTTGAACCGAAAACTAGAAGAACTTCACACCGAATACGGCGGTAGGTAATGCTTTTAAGCCAAAGGGGGGCGGTTCACTTGATGTAGACAATTTTATCATTTTTAATTCAATTTTAGCCGACTATGTAATAAACGCGGCGGAGTTCTTGATGATCATGTTGGAAATCAAACCAGCAGTAAGTGCAAAACTATGGATCTTGGGGGGGGGGGGTGCTTGTATTAATACTCTTTTCATACATTGTAGGGCGTTGGTCTGACCCTAACACAAGTCGAGATGTTTGTTAGATTGTTCAAAGAACATCAGACTTTACTTGGTAGAATTGATCCTGTGGAAAGTGAGAAAGTGTTCAAAGAGCTTGGTATAACCGTAAACGACAAATTGAAACTGCTATTTCGATCCGCCCGTAAGAATTGTTTTTGAACTATATTAGATATGGCAAGTAATAAATTTGAGAACTACTAATTATTAAAACTCGCACAGTTCCCGCTGAAAAAATGTTGATGGATTTAATCTTCGTTGCCGCAGAACTCAACAGGGCGGTCGTGGAAGATGTAATTTCGTTTATAATTCTTTCTTTCTATAAATTTAAAAGTTCCTTGCTGTTATATTTGTTATACTATCTTGCCTACTGATTAATAATATTTTAGGAATCGAAAGTATTAAGCCTTTGCGAGGTCGTGTCTGCCATTTTCGAATTCAAATTGTTCGACGATGATAGCAACGGTGTACTGTCCCCTGCTGAGTATGTCAACTTCAGGAATGTGTCAAACACTTTTTTAATAGGACCGGCAGAATCTCTCAATGAAGCGCAACATTGTTTAATGAAATTCGATGGTGAATTTAATTTAATTTAAAGAGTATTGTAATGCTTTAATTAACGACAATATCGACAGAATCGATTTCTTGTTAAAAAAAAAATTAATTTTCCTTTCTTTTAGGTATTAATAATGTAAACGTTGCAGAATACGTGGAAATTGTATTTTTCGTTGATTAACATACCGAAGACTGTCCCTATGCCACTAAACTTTAGCACAAGCTTTAACAATACTAGTAGGATATGTCTAATAACCAAAATAATAATATAATATATTTTAAACATTTTTATGTATTTATCAATTAAAATATTATGCTCCTCGGTGTCTAATAAAAACAAAAGTTATTATCTGATTTCTATTATTTAATAGATATAAACGAAAAAATATTCAGCACCTAAATGCTAATGTTTATTATTTAATTAAAAATCTATTATATTTTATTGCACTACGTTTTTCGCAGTATGGTAAACACTTCAAATATTGGTAATAATAAACTCGACTTTTTTATCACATATCTTCTAAATCACATTAACATATCAGTAAATAATCTATCAAGTGACTATACGCCATTTTAACTAAATGCGTTAAAACCATATTGCATATTATCATCATTTACTAATGAGCCGACAGTAAAATAAAAAACATATACATCTTAAAAAACCGTTAAAAACAAAGTGTTCAACAAAATTTTACAGCGATAAAAAAAAAAAAAAACACGGTTTGTATTTGTCTAGCAAATGACCTAAATTAGCATCGAATGTGTATAACGGTGCAATCTAATACAATATCCAAGAACACAATATATCTAATATGGTTTGGTAAACATTGTTTTTTTCGCGCTTGAATCAACAAAACACCAGAGACGCGTAGATAACCTTTTTTTATACTGTTTATTCGTCGTTCGTCTTGGGAGCCAATAATAGTTACTGATATATATATTATTTAAAGTACTAGATTACGTTTTTATTAGTTTTGTTAAAAAACAATTAATATAATATGCATTTCAAGAACGCCCTTACTGTCTGCGCGGTGTATATCCTAACGTCGGCATGGGTAAGAGTATGATACTATTTATTATTTATTATTCATCTCGGATGGTGTAAACTCAAAAAATTAAGTACATACCGATTATATAATACGATATGTGTGAAAATCTGCCACGTCATTGGAAATAGGTTCGCTCAGTACTTTTCTCAATGCAATATTGATAGTCGTTGTACTTTATTTCAGAGCATAGAATTGGACAGTGCTCAATTGATAAAGTTGAATAAACTATTTGAAGATCACAAAATGTCTACCAACGAAATTAGCGAGAAGACAATCGCAAAAGTCGTGGAAAAAACGTTTCGAACGGAATGGAAACCACTTCTAGTTGATTTTGAATACGAGAAAAGTAATATTATACTGTTAAACAGTTATATTACCTACCTTTCGGACAATTTAAGTCGACCGTTATGTCCGTTAAGGGCTTAAACTTAAATAGGAACATAGTTAATTAAATTTTCAAATTAAGAAAAATTTACCGAACATTTTAACTGGTTGAATAAATTTTTTTAAAGTTATTTAGGTTTAAATTAATTAAGGATGGTTGTTTAGGTGGTTGAATAATCTACGCAGGTAAAAATAATTTCGCACTTAAATTCTACACTTTTATAACTGTAACAGCAAATCGTTCCCAAACTAACGAGTTAATAAAAAATATTCGTTACCATTTAAGTTTAAGAACTTGATAATAATCCCACTTTCTTCTCAATGATCCCTCCATAATCTCTAGAGAACCTAATTAGGAGTACCTGATTAAGAGTACCTAATTAGGAGTCCTTATCTCTTATCTCTAATACATAATCACTTACAACCGCTAGATCGCGCCACATGCACAGATGTTCTTATTGACCCCCAACCAAAAGAAGCATCCCAGAAAATCAAAGATATAACACCTTGTTATTTGTCTTACTAATTAGTATGTAGGTGGATGCGAATGCTGTCCACTGGTGCGAGATGTGTCACTCCCTCTCCTCTAATAATTATTATATTATTATATTTGTAATGCGTGCCTAACCCAGGGGCTGTCCGACAAATTAGACTTCACAGGTTTAGTTTGGCACTAACGATAGCTACCGGCTATGCACGATATTATTATCGTTACGACTAGTTTATTAAAAGTGAATGACTTAATTAACGACTATTTCAATTTTTTATACAGATCAGTTCGATTCTACTAATTTATATAATTTATTGAGGGCGTTGGGGCAAGGTAACATCAAAAACTCCAAAGATATCAAGGTATTGAAGTTCTCAAATTATGTAGTTTAAACACTAAATAAAATATATACCAACTATTGGTAAACTATAAAAGGATAATTTCAAAAAGTCTAAGATATTTTTTAAGATAATGGCTGGGTGTTTGCTATTATAAGCTATCAGCCTGTATGTATAAATTGTTTCAGGCTGACAGACTCACGCCTTTTGAACTGGACTTTTTCTTGGAGGAGTTCGACACATGCCTCGAATCTTATGAGCATCCAAAGTATATTAATTTTCAACAGCTTTCGGAATCATTCAATTATTGGAAAACGATGAAAGAGGCTTTGAACCGAAAAATAGATGAATATAAAATCGAATACGGCGGTAATACTCATAAGCCGAGGAGGCGTTTTACTTAATGCAGTCGATTTTTAATTTTAAATTTAATTCTAGACGATCATGTAATGAATGCGGCGGATTTTTTGTTGATCATAATGGAAATCAAACCGGCAGTAAGTGCAATACTCTTGATCTCGGGGGCGTGCTTGTGTTAAAACTTTTTTCATACATTGTAGGGCCTTGGTCTGACCCTAGAACAAGTAGAAATGTTTGTTAGTTTGTACGAAGAACATAAGATGTCTGACAGCATTCATCCTGCGGCAAGTGAAACTGTGTTTGATGACATTGGTATAGCCATAAAACCTAAATTGAAAGTGCTATTTGAATCCGGCCGTAAGAATGAACGATTATTATTTTTATATTGCATTAGGATAAGTAATTGGAGACTTACTAATTATTAAAACTTTCACAGAACCCGTTGGAACGTTGTTGGTGGACTTAATGAGCGTTGCGGCAGAACAAAATAGGGCGGTTAGGAAAAATGTAATATAAATTTTAAAGTTTTTCGCTGTGTTGTTTGTAATACTATCAACCCTAATAAATAATAATTATTATAAATTTGTACTTAAACAATTGTTTAGGAATTGAGATTAAGTCTTTGCGAGGTTATAACTGCCATAAAAGAATTCATTGAGATCGACGTTGACGACAACGGTGTACTGTCCCCAGCTGAGTATGCCAACTTCGTAGAGATGGCAAACATTTTGCTGGGAAAGTCGGCAGAAACTAACGAAAAAGTGAAATATTATTTAATGAAATTCGACGGTGAGTTATTTTAAACAATGTTAAAATGTTTTATTTAAAGCAGATTATTGGTCATCTCCTATTAAAAAAAAATACTTTTTTCTTTTTTTAGGTATTAATTCAACAAGCGCTGCGGAATACATGGTAGTTGTATTTTTCATGGACATAGAATATAGCCAAGACCGTCTCGAGACCACTCAACTTTAACACAGTTGAAGATAGAATGCACACATTTTTACAATATTACTCAGACATGTTCAATAATGATAATAATGAGATTTGAAATATTTCTATGTATTTATCAATTGTAATATTACACTGCTCAGTGTCTAATAAAAAACTGTATATTATTTGATTTCGTTTTGATTTTGTTTTTATTTAAAATAAGAACCTATTATTTGTTATTACATTATGTTTTTACCAGTATTGTAAAAACTTTAAATTGTTAAATTGGTATAGATAAAAAATCCGATGTCTCTAATGTCAGCAAATTATTTGTAAGCAACATACAACTCAAAATACACATTATATAAATTATAAATTATACTAATGATTGATGTTGTCGTAGTTGGAATAGGGGTAGTTTGAGGGTAAATAAAGGGTAGACCGATTTAAGTGTATACGGGTTGTTAAACTTTAAGTGTTGCACGGATTTAGATAAAATAACAATTAACACAACGTTGTATAGTAATAATGATAAAGTAATAATACATAAATTTTATGTGAAAAAGTGAGTAACTAGGATATCTTCGGATACTCTTTTCTATAGGTCCAGCTTCCCTTCCAGCTGACTGACTCCCATTGCTGACTGCAATTTACCAAACCTTTGCCTCGACAACGGTTTAGTTAGACTGTCTGCGACCTGGTTTTCTGTTTTAATATGCTGGAGTTGACCTGAAAATATAAACACATTATTATGTAAAACTAATAGCTTCTTGCTATCGCACCGAAGCTAAATAATGTACATTATGTTATTTATAAAAGGCCATATAAGATATTTGTTAAATGTAAGTAGCTCACTTTCTTGAAATAATTTTTATTTCTTTTAAATTTTTGAATTTGTTTAAAACGTTTTGCTTTTATAAAATTCAAGTTATGTTCTTATGACCCATATACCTAATCGTTGAACCAATTAAGTTTTGGTTTGTTACTAATTTAAATTTACAAACATGGGTAGAACTCTGGTAAAGGATTAGTGATGGAGAAATTATTTTTACACTAGTAGTAAGGGTTCAAAATTTTAGATATACATTGGAAATATACACAGTTTGCGCAGTTTTAAAAATTTAAAAGAGCTCTAAAAAAATTCTAGAAAATATCGAAAGAAAGCTACTTGTTGTAAACACCATAAACATAAATTTTACTTCTGACTCTGATTTAATAGAAAAACAACATTAGTCAGTAATACAATCTATAGACGATAAATCATTCATATCCTTGAATTAATTCTTTCTCTTAGAGAAAAAGCGGAATGATATTTTGGTTTGAGAATAATTTTTAAAAGATGCAAGCTTATTAAAGGTGTTAATGCGAACAAATGTTTGATAAAAATGTCCTCTCGGACAGATAACTTTTTACGAATTTATAGCAAACAAAATTGAAAGTTTACAAATTTGCAATAATTTTTTTTGGCCAAAAAAGCTAAAATTTTTATTTTTTTTTTCAAATTAATTTTTTGCATCTCTTTGACAAGCTTTTTTAAAATGAGCTTACAACTAATTTTTATCTCTTATAGTTCAAGAGAAAATAGAAAATTAGGCATTTATAACATTTAACAAACAGAATTATTTCAAATTCAAATCACAATTATACCACATAGGTATGAAATCTACCTTGTATATTATTTCGTATAAAGCTAAGCCAAATATCTATCTTCTTATTTATTGTGCATAGCATTTGGATTTTTTTTACAATAAGTTCTTTGGCAAATTTTATTCTAAGAGTAAACGTCATGTTTTTTAAAACTTCTTCAAAATCTACATTTTATTTGTTTTAGGTACACAAAGTACTGTTATACGCATTGTAATTATTTTTCAATCAAAAAATAAAATAATAATATTATTTAAACTATTTCCTGGCATAGAAAATGTTACACTGTACATGTTTAGTTAGGTACTTTATTCAATTTCATTAAATTTGTATACAAATATTTATAAAGTAATCGTTTACAAAGGAATTTTATTTTCATTTTATACTAAAACCGATCACGTTCAATGTACATTATTTAGCAAGTGTTATTCAGATGTAAAAACAGTTTTAATGAAGTATGACGCAAAAGACAATGTTATTTTTTTAACAAAAAAACAATTGTTTTTTTAAAAAATAAAACACTCGTGTATATTTAAACATAGTTTCATATTTTTACAATTTTGATTTTATTTAGATATTTGAACTTTTGGTTGCCATAATCAAAATAATATATAAAAACCTTCTTCCCCAGGATGGCAACCCTTGTCTCTAGTAGAAAAAGAGTTGTCCATCTGACCTAAAAAGGTTGTAGACTAAATGCAAATTGTTACTGTTCTAGGGCTTTATAATGAAACCGTACGAATGTATACTTTGTTATATATATATAATTATTAATTATTACTTTTTTTTAGTATTATTATTATTATTATTATTATTAATATATTGTAACGTATAATATATTATATTTTATATTATTTAATATTGTAAACAAATTTTAAAGACATATTTCCGCTGAAAATTAAATAATAATAATACAATCATTTAAAATATATTTCCAAAACATAACATAATTAAATAATTTGGAATAATTATTTGTTAAAAATATCTTTTTTCCAAACTTTGTATTTTCAATCTTTTGGTACAACTTAATTAATAAATTAGAGTAGAATAAAATTTAAGCTAAGTGATAATCTATTTCAACCACCAAACATGGTTTTTTTTTTACTTTTGCATTGTAACCGCCAAGCGGTATTAGAATAATACATGTACATTAGTAAATATATTAATAATATTACACCTATTGCAAATTTTTACTTACAAATAATTATCTCACAATTATTGATGCGATTTTTCTTGAAAACACATATGTGATTACTTTAGTCGCCGTTCATCCGTCTATGTGCAGTGTCAATAATATATCTTTTTGTATTATGACATCTTTACAAAAAAAAGTTAAGGGCTCAAATATAACTCAGGAGCAAATAAAAGTGTTGACTGATTTTATAGCCGTACACCCTAAATTGGTCAAAGGGAAACACTGTGACAATTTTACAAACATTATGGCAAAATAATTGTGGGTAGAGGTCACATTGACCTTAAATACAATGGAAAGTCCAGAAAAAATTTGTAAAGCTTGGCGACGAGCTAGTAAAAATATCTATCAACTCTAATTATATAAAAAAAAAATTAAAAATACCTATTTTATAGACATGGCATGATAAAAAATCGTGAGCCAAAAAAGAAAAAGAAGACAAAAATCAATGCAAGAGTCACTGGTGGCGGTGGCAGCGTTGGTAAGGAAATATTTAATGAAATTGACGAAGCAATTGTAGGGTTGATAAGGGAAGTTCCTATAACTTCCTGTTACTACAATAAAAAGTTGAAATACATGAAGCATTTGGTACAACTAAAAGTGGGGAGTGTAATTGCCAAAAAAAAAAAATGGAAGAAGGTATTCTAAGGTTAATAGCTTTAAAAGAGATGTAAGATAATTCAGACCTGTCAGTAGATTTAATTTAAAATTATTTTATTCAATTAAACTATTTATCTATTGTGTTTTTGTTATACTAATAATAAATTATTTATAATATTCATGAATAATAGCCATATGTTATGACAACTAATAGGCGTACACGGGTAATCATTACTAAAACCTAATTGGTTGGAAATAACATTAACCGATTTTTGATATTTTTCAATTTTTTTTTTTCGTATTGTTTTTATACAATGTGATCTCAATTTTTCAAAACAATTTTTGTTTTTACCCCTCTTTTAACTTAGATTTTTTGATAGCAACTTTTGAAACTTTAAATGTAACGTATATATTTTATTAACTATTTAAATTGAGAATAATGTACTAAAAAATTTTACTGGTCGATAACCAGTTTCGGATAACTATTTTTGAAGTTATTAAAGTTTCAAGTTAAGGGCAGGAGGGAAGGTGGAGTGTCGTATTATTTTTATCTGCGCGCATTTCCCAACCGCACTTTCCCTCTCATCCTAACTTCACACATTTTTCAGGTTTTTATGTTAAGCGAACTGTTGTATTTTACATACACAATTTGTACGGTTTTTCTATTTTTTTTTTTTTTTATGGAAACCCAGTTATTTTTGGCCATATTATGTTTTATTATTTGTGTTTCTGAACGTTGGAATTTGCTTGTAACGATAACACCATATTGTTGGAAATATTGTAGCGAATACACATTTTGTAAAAAAAACCAATAATAATAACTGTTTTCTTTTCACCTATGTACATAATATTGTTTTCAGGTCAAGTGTGAACAGAGCGGTACTTGTGTCAATGTTCTATAAACATTTCGACTCGATCCGACCCTTTTTACGCTACATCTAGCAAATTAAAGTAGATGGTTAAAAAACCGGTCGATTGTTTTCATATAATCTTTGGCCAAAGTGCCGGTTGTAAAATAAAAAAAGCCAGTGCTGGGTGTCGGGGAATAGTGGGGACGGGGAGGTCACAGGTCTACATGAATTATTTTACCTGAAAGTGATAAAATCACTTTTAAACAAACGCTTCGATGCGGATCTCTGGACAGTAGGTTGAGACCAGTATAAAAAATAAAAACACACCATTGTAAACATCAGTGCTAAACAAATTGAATAATAATACAAAAAAAATAAAAAATAGAACATAGTTTGTATTTGTCTGGCCTACACCTACAACTTATAGCATCGAATATGTATACAGGGTGAATTTTTTATCATGAGCCAGTCAATATTTCACTGAGTTTATATAATTATTTATTTTCATAGTGTTTTATATATATATGTGATCTCAATTTTCCACAAATTATTACGTTTCTACCTCCCTCCCAAACTAGTTTTTTTATAGCAATTTTTGAAACTTAAATGGTAACCTATATAATTTTTAAACTTTTTAAATTAAAAATATTCTACTAACAATTTTGTCTGGTCGATAATCAGTTTTGGATAATTATTTTTAAAATGATTTAAGTTCCAAGTTTAGGGCAGGAGGAAAGGTGCAGTGTAGTATTTTGTTTATCTGCGCGCATTTCCCAACCGTACTTCTCCTCCCGTCATAACTTTTAAACTCTTATAACTTTAAAAATAATTATCCAAAACTGGTTATCAACCAGTCAACATTTTTAGTGAAATGTTCTTAATTTAAAAATTTAAAAAAATGTTACCATATAAGATTCGAAAGTTGCTATCAAAATAACTAGTTCCGGAGGGGGTTACGAACATAATAATTTGGGGAAAATTCAGATGACATTATATAACAACAGTATGAAAAAAAAAAAATTCAATAATTACATAAACTCAGTGAGATATTGACTGGCTCATGATAAAAAAATCACCCTGTATAGGGGCAATCGACTGTAATATGCAAGAACCCAACAAAATATGTTTTGGCAAACATTATTTTTTTTTTTTGCAATTGTGTCAACGCAACACCGAAGCTGCGAAGTGAATACTTATTTTACTGTTTATTCGTCGTTCGTCTTTGGTGCCAATAGTCTTACAGCTATAATATTACAAGTACTCTATTGAATTCTTATTATTATTTTAAAAACTTAAAAAAAAGTATGCATTTCAAGAGCGCCCTTATTGTTTGCGTGGTGTATTTCCTGGCGTCGGCATGGGTAAGAGTATGATACCTAGTAAATATTCATCATTCATTTCGGATAGTATAAACTCAAAAAATTAAATGCATACCGATTATAATACAACACATATGTGTGTAAATCTGCCACGTCATCGGCAATTGGTTCACTCAGTACTTTTACCAACACAATATTGATGGTCGTCATACTTTATTTCAGAGCTTAGGATTAAACAGTGATCAATTGGTAGAGCTGAATAAACTGTTTGAAAATCACAAAAAGTGTACCCACGGAATTGACGAGGAGGACATGCGACTCATCGTAGAATCCTTTGGAAATATATGGGAAAATTATCAAGATAATTTTGGATTCTATCCAAGTAAAAATATTAATTTTTATTTCTGTTTTAGCACAACATGAGAAATTATTTAATTATGAATTTTTTCGACTTGAGGTATATCAAATTTTGAAACTTAATTAGTCTTCTTCTTATTGTGTCCGGTTTCACCCGACTTAATAAGTAACATATAATATTAATTGAATTTTTAATTAGATCTTATTTAAATATTTTTTTTATAACTTTGTAGTTAATAGTTGGGACACGTATTCCGTACATGTTAAAACCGTATAAACTAAAGTTTTTTAAATGATACGTATAAACTTCATCAACTTTTTAAATAAAAAATTGTTTACTGAAAGTTTTGACTGGTCAAAAAGCAATTTTGAATACATTTTTTAATGTTAGTTATGTTTAAATTTATGGATGGGAGGTGGACAGGAATTGAGTATTATGCACAGGTGAACTTTTGGGATATGATTAAAAACTGCATAACTTTCAAAATGTGGTAACTTTGTAAATAATTTTTGTGTATTGTGCTCGACATTTATACCAAATTTCGATACTGTAAAAATATTTAATTCAAGTTTGTACTATTTGAAGTTGCAAACAAATTTAACAAAATATGTAACATATGCCATTTTAACAAAAAGCGATTCATTGCAATGGGGGTCTTATGATTCCTATTGACTCGAAAAAAAATGAGATAGTAACACAAATTATACAATTCCAAAGGGATTTAGAATGATTTTAAGAGACCGGTAGCTTTATACAAACTTTAATGGACTCAGATTTAGAGCTTTGTATTTGATCTATCAGTTGTACAAACTCGAATTACCCAGTTCTTATACTTAAGAAATGGAATAACAATTGCAGTCGATATTATACAGATTAACAAACATGTATATATAATCACATAATGCTTATCAGGAGCTAGAATAGGATATTTGGAGTTGTGTACAAATTTGCGGTTTTTGTAGAATATTTTACTAGTTTACAAAGGCCATCAAATAACTCAACATTTGATTCACATGAGCCAGATTGTCTAGTAGTTGAATTTGGAATTCAACATGTGTGTGTGTGTTCTGAAAGACAAAATAAAATGTCGGTCTAGGCAAAAGCTTTTTCAGAAGATTTTTATGAACTACATGTCGTATTCCCCTCCGCTTAATCGCTACATTGACCTGGTTAGGGAAGATTACGAGGACCTCAAACGGACCTGTCCATTTGGGTGTGAGTTTGTTGTGAACTGTTTTACTTTGTAAATAAACCATATCACCTACTGACAGGCTTAATGATTCAGCATTAATATCATACTACTCTTTCGTCTTGTTCTTGTTAGCAGTAAATTGATTTCTGACAACTTCGTTGGTTTTCTGTAACTTTCGTTTAAGTTCGGTGGAGTTGTATTGAGGTTCTGGAGGTTTCAACAATGATGTAGGAATTTTCCCCAGTCACTTCAGGGGCGTGGGTTCGAATCCCACCGCTGCCACCAATTTAGGTTATGCGGGGCCTAAGAAAATTAGACTTTATAGGTTTGGATTGGCAGTAACGACAGCCACCAGCCAGGCACAATATTATTATTGCTAGTAATAGGTCAGGAAAAAAGTCATCGTTACATCGACTTAAAAATGAATGACTTAATTAACAACTAATCAATTTGTGTACAGATGAGCCTGATTCCATAAACTTAAGTGAACTATTGAAAGCGTTATCACAAAAAGAAAAAAACTCCGACAAAACCGAGGTATTCAAAGTCTCAAATCAACCATTTTAAACTCTAAATAAAATACATATAACATCTTTTGGCAAATATAATTGTGATTTAATCTACGCTGGATCCATGTGTTATTTTTTAAATTATTTTTTTCCATAATATTTCAGTATTTAAATTAAAATGTTATATATGTTTCAACTATAAAATTCCATCCCTTATGTGTCAAAAGTAGTTGCGAAAAATAGGTTTTTAATCGGTCGAAATTTGCATCAAATTATTTGTCATTTAAAAATGTATAACATATAAATACTTTACCGTTTGAAAAGGTTAAGTTCATAGGACATTAAACATAAGGGATGATGTTTTTTTAAAATTAAAAACGTAGGAAATAAAGATTGGGCGAACTTTGAACTAAAAAAGATAATTTTAAAATGTCCAAGATATGTTTAAGATATTGGCTGAGTCATTGCTAATACAAGTAATCACTCCGTAGAACAAATTCTGTATGTATGTATGAATTGCTTTCAGGTTAATACACTCACGTCTTTTGAAGTAAACTTTTACTTGGACGAGTTACTTGATGTCGCCGACTCTCATGACCAAACGGGATATCTCACTCTGCCACAGCTACCGGAAGTATTTGAGTATTGGAAAACGATAAATGTTAGATTAACCGAAAAATCAAAAGAACTTGAAATCAAAAAAGGCGGTAATCCACTTAAGCCCAGGAGGCGGTTCACTTGATGTCGACAGTTTTTAATTTTTATTTCAATTTTAGACCGACACCTAATAAACGCTGCGGACTTCTTGTTGATCATGTTGGAAATCAAACCTGCAGTAAGTGCCATACATGTGCAAATATTTTCATTTCTTGTTGGCTCATCACATTTACTCCCCCACAGCAACCTGGAAGTTGACTAACCGTCAATGTGTAATTTTGCGGTTCTCCTTAATAACAAAAAAAAAAAATAAAAAAATAATGAGAAAACTGTATAATATATTGTAGTTTTTTTTTCTAGATCTTTCTTCAGTTTAATTTTCAGACCTATAATCTAAAAAATTTGCATGGAAAATTGAAATAAATAAACACTGTCTATCCTTCGTAGGAAGAATGGCTTATGATATCTTTTGGGTTTGTAAATAATTGTCGGTAGAACTATGTTTCAAATTTAGAACTAATTAAACTAATTTAAAAAAAGGACAAAGCATCGTAGTTTTAATTTTTGTAAAAGGGGTGATTTTTTTTAAACTTAAATTCGATAATTTACATGTCAGGTAAGATTTATGATTTATAGAGCTGCTATACGAAGGAATCGGTTTAGCAATTTGAAAGATATTGTTTCTGTTATTTTAATTTTGCATAAGGTGGACGAAAAACCACCTATTTAATAATGAGTCAAGTATAAGAAATGTTTTGCGAAATCCTGATTTAGAATTTTTAGTATGGTATATACTTGCTTATACAATAATGAGTAGGTAATCAGGATTCTTTATTAGTTGTTTTTTTGTCAAAATATCGCAGTAATTTATATTGTAAAAAAAAATTCGAATTTGTTTCCAATCAAAACCATTTTCGTAGTTCAAATACTGTGCATTATTTAGTGAACAAAAGGCTAAAATTATTTATAAGATGGAGAGTTCAGTGTTATTTTGCTGGAATCTGATTTTGTGAATAGTGCTTAAAAGCGAGTTTCGTAACTTACCAATCTTAAAAATCTTAAATATTATGCGGGTCACTTTAAAGTGTTCATATTTCAGCTTTAATATTTTTTTTAAACTGTAGAAATGTTGCTCAATCTAGTGATGAGGAATTTTTTGTTTTAATAGACTATTAGCGATCTAGAGGTTGGGGGCGTGGAAAAAAATAAACATTACATTTTTTCTAAACACATCCTAAAATAAAGCTTGAATTAATATTTTTTTCGTACATTGTAGGGCAATGGTATAACCCTAGCACAAGTAGAAAAGTTTGGCCGTTTGTACAAAGAACATAAGACACCTGGTTTGGTGATCACCATTGAACCTGATGAAAGTGAAAACGTGTTCATTGAGCTTGGTATAACCATAGACGACGAATTGAAACTGTTATTAATTTCGAACCGTAAGAATAAAAATAGGTTCTTATAAAATATTAGGTATGACAAGAAATTAGAGAACTAGGTACTAATTATTATTAAAACTCGCACAGGACCCGCTGAAATATTGTTGATGAATTTAATCTTGGCTGCGGCAGAACGCACTAGCGCGTTTGGGGAAAAGGTAAGAACGTTCATAATATTTTTGTTTTTTACATTTCGAAATAATTTGCTGTTACGTTTGTTTTACTATCCCACTTATCATTTAATAATTATTATAAATTTTTATACTATAAATTGCTTAGGAATTGAGAGTGAAAAGTCTAGGCGAAGTCGTGTCTGCCTTAAACGAATTTATTAGGTTAGACGATGATAAGGACGGTTTACTGGCCCCTCATCAGTGTCCTGGCGGCGAAGATGACCGAAACCCTAATACGACACCCATGGAAGTGTCGGAAGAACTGCAAGGTGATTTAAAGAAGTCCAAAGGTGAAGTTAACTTAATCAGTGTTAAAATGACTAACGACGATTATTGGTCATCTAATAAAAAAAACTAATTTTGCTTTTTTAGATATAAAAACAGTAAACTTTGCGGTATTCTTAGAAAGGATGTATTTCGATGAAAAATAAAGTAACGTTGGCGACGACCCTAACACATTCGGTTATACTTCCGTTAATGTTGACTCACAATCATAAACAATATTAAGTGGACAATGTTTAATAACCATAACGATTATAATAATATTTGAAATATTTTTATGTATTTATGAATTGAAATATTACGGTGTCTAATAAATAATAATAACTACCTTCATTCTATTAATAATTAATAATTATAAAACATTTAAATAATATGTTATGTTAATTATAAAAAAAAATTCAGTACCTAAATGTTTTTGTTTTTATTTAATTAGTAAAGTAAGGGAGGTCTAGCGTTCACAGATAAAAATACAAATATCTATAAAATCATTGTACCTCATGTCATTTGTGCGCTTAAAATTTAATTTTTAGTATTAGGGTTTACTCGATTAGGTTTGATCGCCTGTCTGTAACAATGTATTGCCATAGTTACCCATGTATTGAAATTAACAATATAATGGAAATTTCTCATAACCTGTTGACTGTTGTTTCACTTACACGAGGCTCTATAACTTTTTTAAAAAAAATAGTCAAATTAGTTCAAATTTGTATTGAATAGTCTTTAAACATAGTATTAACGATAAACATTGACTAATTAAAAATACACCATTAACCCTTTCTCTAGAAGAAATAATAATTTTTCTTTATTTCAAATTTTTTAAGTAAAGTTAGGGATTTAGGTCAGAAATTTAGACCGAAGGTAGGTCTAGAATGAAACTGTAGCTTTACTTTTTAGCCAATTTCCATGTTGCTATGTGTGAGTCAACAGGTAATGAAAATGTTTTTATTTTTATTGTTAAGAGGACGTTACATCCATTAAAAATAAACATAAAAACTTGGTTTTGGAAAAGTGTGTAGGTCAAAGCAAAACGGCCATAGAAAAAAATGTATAATGTTGTTAAAAAGAGAAGAGCTTTACCTAGGTTCTTTTGATGGTTTTGTTAGAAAATTAAATTTTTTTCTTAAAAACGAGCAATTATAAAAGTAAAAAAATATAAAAATTAAAATATAATTGTGAAAGTTCAATTAATAATATTTAAAAAAGCCAACAAGAGAGTCTAAGTTACAAAATTCTTACTATTTTAAATATTATGTAAAAATGAATTGTCTACGATTGTTATTTGGCCAATAATAGAGAATATGCGTAGCCATGTTTAGATGATTATTTTTTTTTTTAATTGCTGATAAGGATGCTGTGATAGTCAGAAAAATATTTTAAATACTAAAAAAAAGGGTCTCAATTCGTAAACTTATAACTTCACATCACAGTTAAACCTTTAAGATAAAAATATGTAAGAAATACTTTACTTCTTATTATTTAGGGAATCAGAAAGCGTTATTTGTTTAAGGGCAAAGGATAGGCAATATTGGACAAAAAATTATCTGGTAGCAGTATTAATTTTGAACATACCGACTATTTTTAAGCAAATAATTTTAAACAAATATTAAGTCTTTCTAGTTATAAAACTCTTAAAGCTAGTCATCTCCAAGTTATAGCAAATGTTTGATTTTACTATTAAAAATTTAACTGGATTTTTAAAAAAAAAAAAAATAAATAATGAAGTAATAATCCAGTTCAGGCCCTGCTAATTTCATTTGTAGGAAATGCCGGGTTAAAAATACAGCCAAAGGGTGATGAACCCATGGACTATTTTGATTTACTAATCTTTAACGATTTTTATGATTTTATAATAGAAGAAACTAACTTATATGCATGTACTTATAATGCTATCTCAACAAGTTTTTTAACTTAAGATTTTGGAGGAACAGTTTTTTCAATCAGTACATTCATATATGAGTACGCAGCTTTTTTGGTAAATTGGCAAATTTCTTTTTCACTGTTTCATTCAAATAGACCGGAATTTCGATTTAATGGCAATAGCTAGATTATTTGTAAGTTTACTCAAACTTGAACACATAAATCTATTCGAATCAATTAACAGTGAACTTGTTAGAAATAAATTTCGAAAAAGAAAGACATTTTTCTTCACTGTTACTTGAATAGTTTACGCATCGTATCCTAATTCGGTCACTATGAAATGACTAGCATAATTTATTAGATTATGAACTATGAATGTGTAGCTGTAGTCTCGAGGATTCCATTTTATTGGTTACTCTCTGGAGTTTTTACTAATAGCTATTCAAAATCCGCGTGTACAGCGAAATAGTGCCGTTGAGTATTTCCGCAGTTTTCAAACTTTAAAATAGTTTCAGGTGACGTGTTTATTCATTATGCTGTACTTAAAATACCTTTCATCTTGATTATTGACATTCATCGTAAGCCTTCATGTTCTCTAAAGTTTCTGAGAGAGCTACATTATATTATGTCAGCTGATTAGCTGTCAGTTGTGATATTTGCGCACGTACCGACGTATGTCTTTCCGCTAAAAACTTGTTCGGACTATTATGAACATTTCAAAAAATTTGAGCCAAATTGGTCCAGTCGTTCTCAAGTGATGCGTGTTGTAACAAATAGCATTTCATTTTTTTTATATAGATGATAATTTACCAACAGTAAATTGTCTCTTGAGTACAAATCGGGTGCTCAGATTTTTAAAATAAAAATACAGGACAAACCTGTTAAACTTTCATGTATATAATACATACATATATTTATACCTATAGTATATACATATTATATTTTCACACTTGACCTACGCCACCAACGATAAGCATACTTACATTTTCATTTTTATGTACATGACCGCATCATACATAAATTGAAGAGAAAAGTAATCTAGTAATTTATGTCTTAGAATAATAAAAGTTAAAAGTTATCTGTTAAAAGTTATCATGTTAAATAGGTAACTGTGTAAATATAAAATGAAAGAAAGAACAAATAAATTTATTTTTATAATAATACTAGTTGACCCCAATTGAATGAAATAAGGTAAAAAGAAGAATGCTAGGGGATTTTGTTCAGTGAACTTGGACGCATAAAAAAAAAATACGTATTCTATTATTATTGGCACTTGCGGAATATTTTCAGTAAAACAATATGCATAATTTAATTTATTTGAACGTAATTGTAAAAAAAAAATCGTATTACAATAAGATAACAGAATGTGTGTATATTAGAATATAAGTATTGAGTGGTGAAACTGATTTGCGTTCCTCTAATTCAAAATAAAGTATACGTACAAACGAAAATTAGAAAGATTCGTAAAAATGTTTACTGGTTTTAAAGTTTCAACTCTTTTTTTTTTAGGGGGGTTGTCCATATATTTAAGAGTTAAAGAGTAAACTTTTTAAAAATCAAGAAAGTAAAAAAAAATGCTGTCATGTTTGTAAATGTACCCGATTTGCTTTAAAGTTTCAAGTACACTAAACAGGTACTGTTTTACGCGTTATAATTATTTTCAATCAAAAGTTGAAATAATATTGTTGTATATTATTTATTTTGATTTTTTTTTTTAATAACTCAACTATTTTCTGGCATGGAACGTTGCAAGTACTTAACGCTATTCAATTTCAATAAATATGTATTAAGTTATATACATTTAGGTATCGTTTACCAAGTATATATTTTTTTATCTAATATTAACACTTATGGCTAAAACAAAAATAACCGATCATGTACAATGTATATTATTTAGCAAGTGTTATTCAGACCATGCAAAAAACAGTTTTATTAATGTACGACGCAAAAGACAATGTTATTTGTAATACAACAATACGATAAATGTTTCTAAAAAACATAATACCCGTGTACATTAGAACATAGTTTCATATTTTTACAATTTTTATTTCATTAAAATATGTTAACTTTAGTTGTCAAAATCAAAATAATATACCAAAACATACATCCCCAGGCTGGCCACCCTTGTTTTTTTCCTTTGTTATTTCTTTATTTCGTTTTTATATGTGTAGTACAAAGCTTAAGTCAGAAAATAAATATTGGAAGAACATCTGCTGTATCCATATCACAATAACAATATTTTGTACAGCTATGCCGTAGCATAGCTACTATGAAAAAAACAAATGTGTTTTTATGAATCATACCTAGAATAAAAAAGCCAGTACAGTGGGGTCGGGCTGTAGTGGAAACTGGAGGTCACAATGCTTCAAGAATTACATTATCTGAAAGTGATAAAATCACTTTAAAATAAACGTTCGATAGGATTCTTTAGATACTGCTCCTCACATTAATACTTTCTAACTGTGCTGGTTTGTGCTTTGTTTGGTATGGACTGTACTGGGTTAGACATACTAAGCTCAGATTCGCATCGAAGCGTTTATTTAAAATTGATTATAATATCACTTTCAGATTTAATAATGCTTGATCAACCGTGACTTCTCCAACTCCACTGTACCCAATGTACTGGCTTTGTTTTTATTTGTTAATTAATAACAAAGGGGGTTAAAACCATAGTGGTATAAGTCATATCAAAATAGTATGTATTGTTCAGCCAGCCATACAAAATATGCGAATTTTTGTTGTCTAGATTGAATATAACAATTTAATCAGTTCACGTAGTCAAATGAAAAATGATACTCGTATCTTAGGTTCAAATCAGTATAAGTAATAAAAACCAGCGTTGTAAACATCTGTACTAGAAAATGTGTACAATAACACAAAAAAATAAGCAAAATATAACATGGTTTGTATTTGTCTAGCAAGTGGCTTATACCTACAACTTATAGCATCGAATATGTATATCGAGGCAATCGATTATAATATCCAAGAACCCGACAAAATATGTTTTGGCAAACATTGTTTTTTTTTTTACAAATGTGTTAACGCAACACCTAAGCCGCTAAGAAAATACTTATTTTATTGTTTATTCGTCGTTCGTCTTTGATGCCAATAGTCTTACAGCTATAATATTTCAAGTACTCTATTGAATTCTTATTATTATTTAAAAAAAAAAAATTAATAAAACTATGCATTTCAAGAGCGCCCTTATTGTCTGCGTGGTGTATTTCCTGACGTCGGCATGGGTAAAAGTTTGATATCTACTATAGTATATTATTAATTATTCGTCTAGGACAGTATAAACTCAAAAAATTAAATGCATAACATGTATATATGATACATTACATATGTGTGTAAAACTGCCACGTCATCGGCAATAGGTTCACTCAGTACTTTTACCAATACAATATTGATAGTCGTCATACTTTATTTCAGAGCGTCGGATTAAACAGTGATCAATTGATAGAGTTGAATAAACTGTTTGGAAATCATAAAAAGTGTACCCACGGAGTTGACGAGGAGGACGTCTCAAAAGTCGTGAGAGAGTTCTTTGGAATAAAATGGAAACGTCCTGAAATTAATTTTGCATTCTATCCAAGTAACATATTGATAAACAATTAAATTTGTTTATATTTCGGGCAATTTAAGTGGACTGTTATGGTCGTTAAGGGCTTTTGCGTTTGGCTAATTAATACATGTTGAACTTAATACCGGGTGGTTCTTTTGACGTCTTAAACTAGTTTGCTGTTAAAATAATTGACTTAACGCCGAGTAAAAATTATGTTAATGATTAAAATATTAAAATCGATGGCGAGCTATATAAAATAAAGATTTTACCTGTTACCGGGATCTGTTGTAATCTGGAGATAAAGCAGCCCGAGTGACACGCATAAAAATATAATAAGTTGCCGAATAATTATTAGGTAATTATTAAATAAAATATTAGCGCGTAGATGCGAGTGCTCTCTACCGGTACGAGACGTGTCACTTCCTCTACTCTAATTATTTTATTGGTGTATTTTTAATGCGTGACCAGCCTAAGAAATTAGACTTAATAGGTTTAGTTTGGTAGTAACGAAAGCTACCAACTAGGCACGGTATTATTATTGCTAATAGTAGGTCAGGCAAAAAGCCATCGTTACATCGACTTAAAAAATAATGAACAACTAATCAATTTGTATACAGATGAGCCTGATTCTATAAACTTAAGTAATTTATTGAGGGTGTTAGCGGAAAAAGACAAAAGGTCAGACAATATCAAGGTAATCAAAGTCTCAAATTAACTATTCCTTACTCAAATATACTAAAATTTATACAATCTATTGGCAAATATCGAAATTGTAATTTTTTTAAATTATACATTTGCATAATATTACTGTAAATAAATTAACTAAATTGTGTTAATAAATGATTCAACAATATAATCTTATCCCTTATGTGTTAAAACCCTTTGAATTTAAAATTGTAAAATGGTTTTATTGTACAGGGTGTTTTATTAAGGATAAGACTCCAATTTTCTCTTGAAGTAATCGCGATTTTGTAGTGTTTTTTTTTTTATTTAGAGATAATTAGTGTTTTATCTTAGATGAAACAGCCTGTGGTAACTAAAGTTTATAATTTAGGACGCTAATGGAGTAATATTAAACTTTGTCATCTTTGAAGGTAGTTACTCAAAATCGATTTTTGAAAAAATATTTGCTATTTATAAAAGTTAATAACATTTATACGTTATTGATTGAAAAGCTTATGCTTTAAGTTCATAGGACATTACACATAAGGGATGGTGTTTATTTTATTGAAAACGTAAGATATTGGCTAGGCCATTGTTGTAACAACTCCGTAATGCGCAGAATCTGTATGTGTAAATTGTTTTCAGGCTAAAATACACAAGTATTTTGATGTAAACTTTTTCCTGGATGAGTTCATTACAGTCTGCGAGTCTTATGACCAACCGGGATATCTTAATCTGCAGCAGCTCTCGGAAGTATTTAGCTATTGGGAAACGATAACTGTTAGATTAAACGAAAAAATAAAAGAACTTAAAATCGCAATAGGCGGAAATGCACGTAAGACGAGGAGGCGGTTCACTTAAAGTAGACAATTTTTAATTATTATTTCTATTTTAGACCGCCATCTAATAAACGCGGCGGATTTCTTGTTGATCATGTTGGAAATCAAACCAGTTGTAAGTAAATGCGAAATAAAAATGGTTAAGAATTTACAACTAAATAAAATAAATTAAGTAAGTGAGCATGTAAGGGAGATCCAGTGTAAACGGGTAAAAATACGATATACAGTATGATACTTTTATCATGGGCCAATCAATATCTCATAGCGTAGACAGTACAGTAGGTAATGGGGATTCTTTATTAGTTGTTTTTCTTTCAGAATATCACAGTAATTTGTATTATAAAAACTACAATTATTGTTCCATTAATCCCATTTTTGTAGTTGAAATACTGTAAAGTTTTATTGATTAAAAAGCCAAAATTTCTCTCGTCATTTACACAATGATGATACCAAAGATGTTTTGTTGGAACCTGATTTTGAAAATAGTATCAAAAAGTGAGCCTTATAGATTACCAGTATAGCTGATCCTTACAGCTAAAATATAACACTTAATTATCTTAAAAAAAAGAACGATTAATAGTATCGTGAAGTATCATGCGGGTCATTTTAATATGTACATATTTCAGCTTTAATATATTTTTTAAACTGTAAAAATATTGCCCAATCTAGTAATGAGGATTTGTTTGTTTTAATAGACTATAAGCGATATAAAGGTTGGGGTGGGGGATAAATAAACATTTAATTTTTCTAAACACATCCTAAAATAAAGCTTGTTTTAATACTTTGTTTTCATACATTGTAGGGCAATGGTATAACCCCAGCGCAAGCAGAAAAGTTTGGCCGTTTGTACGAAGAACATAAGACACCCGGTTTGGTGATCACCATTGATCCTGATGAAAGTGAAAAAGTGTTCAATGAGCTTGGGATAACCATAGACGACGAATTGAAACTGCTATTTATTTCGAACCGTAAGAATAAAAATAGGTTTTTATAATATATTAGGTATGACAAGAAATTAGAGAACTAGGTACTAATTATTATTAAAACTCGCACAGGACCCGCTGAAATATTGTTGAAGGATTTAATCTTGGCTGCGGCAGAACGCACTGGGGCGTTTGAGGAAGAAGTAATATCTTACATAATTTTTACTATACATTTTGAAATAATACGCTGTTTCGTTTGTTTTACTATCCCACCTACCATCTACTAATTATTATATATTTTTACATTCAAAATTGCTTAGAAATTGAGAGTGATAAGTACAAGTGAAGTCGTGTATGCCATAAATGACTTCAATGTGACCGACGCAGATAAGGATGGTTTACTGTCTCCACATGAGTATTCTGGCCACGAAGATGACTTAGATTCTATTTTAAAACCGATGGAAGTGTCGGAAGAAGTTATCGAAGATCTGCAAATTTATTTAAAGAAGTTCGATGGTAAAGTTTAACTAAACAGTGTAAAAATGATTTAATTAACGAATATTGTTGGTCATCTCCTAAAAAAAAACCTCTTATTTAGGTAAGAAGAAACTAAACTTTGCGGAATTCGTGGTAACGGTAACGTTCGTTGATATACATAAAAGCGTAGAAGACCCTATGACAAACGATGCTGATGCCGATAGTGATTAGTTGCCAATAATGATAGAACCATAATAATATGTAGTATATTTTTATGTATTTATGATTTGAAATTTTATGGTATATAATTATAAAAAAAATTATTATTTGATTTATATTAATTTTTTTTTTTCGTACGGCGTAAATGTCACGAAGTAGGTCTAAAGGAATTATTATAACTCAAAGTGATAAAATCACTTATAAATTAACGCTTCGACGACATTTTTTGGATAGTAAGTGCTATCAGTAGTCCAAACCAAGCACAGCAAGGAAATATTATACGTAAATGAGTGCGATGTTCACAGAAAAAAATTCAAATATCGATAAAAGCATTGTATCTTTTCACACTTACGGGCAAAATGATATTTTATTTTTATAGGAGATACGATTAGATTTGTCATCTTTTTATAAAAATGCAGAGTAATTTCTGTAAATACTTACCACAAGTGTTTCTTATTGCGCTGGTTTGGACTGTGGTGGTTCGGACTGTGCTTAGGTTTGACTTTTCTGGTTTATACTGTTAACGGGTTTTTTGTTATGAACTTTTAACATCTTATCGATATGGTCTAAAAGGCCGATATTACTCTTTTGTTTTTAAATTTCTAATATAAGCGTTTATATTTTTAATTTTTCGTGATTTATTATAATAATTATACCTAATTTTCTATTAGCTAAATAAAAAATTGGCCTTTTAGCCCTCATGGAAAAAAAATTGTAAGCTTCGCAGAAAAAAAACAATTGAAATTCGTTCAATTGATACGCCCGAAAATGACTTCGACGAGAGTAATTTTTATCAAACTTTTTTTGTAATAGTATAAGAGTAACTGTTTTTTTTTTTAAATGTATTATCACTCGTGTTTTCGATAAACTACGTCGTTAGTTCTATATTATGATCATACATTTTTAAGTTGATACCAACTTTAAATATAGATATATAAATACGAATTACAATACAAAAAAGCTATGCACATATGTTTTAATAGAAAAAACATTAAAATATGATGGAACACAACAGGGGTGAAGAATTATTGGATAAATGTTACTATAGACAGACGGTCAATCCTAATCATATCCACTTTATGCTTAAAAAAATTAGTACAGTAGGGTCGGGGCATAGTGGCCAGGGCATGGTGCGGTTGGGGCATAGTAGGGATGGAGAGATCACAAAAAAACACTTTTAAATGAACGATTTGATGCGAATCATTGGCTAGTTTGTTCAAACCAGTACAGTACAAACCAAGCACAGTATAAACTAGCACAGTAAAAATGTATTACGCGATACAAAAAAAAACGTTATATGTTTCTAAAAAATAAAACACCCGTGTAAATTAGTACATGGTTTTATATTTTTTATAATTTTGATTTTATTTCGATTGTAGTTGCGTTGCTCTGGCTTTGCCTAGAGGGGCGGGGGGGGGGGCTATGCAATAATACTGACCATTTGTCAGCCGTAATATTTGCGTTTGTAACACCATATATTGGAATAAACTTTCAGTGATGCGATTAGCTACGAACACAATTTCATTTTTATTTATATAGATTAAAACTTTTTTTGTCGTAATCAAAGTAAAAAAACAAAACCCACCGGTATAGAAAGATTTGTTCAACCGACCTAAAAGAGTCATATACTAAAAAAAATTGCTGATATAACCAAATCTTTGAAACATGTTTACAGATATTAGATCGCCGAAACTTTGTAAATGAGCAATTTTTTTTGGGGTTTTTTATAATACATTTTCCAATCAATAAGTCATAATTTTCAGTAAATTATTATTATCGTACTAATGTTTTTTTTTATTACGCTTTAATATGTGTAGTACGGAGCTACAGTCAGAAAATAAAGACGAAATAACATCTGCTGTGACCCTAATACAATAACAAGTTCTTCAGAAAACACATTTTTAAATAGCTAAACTCTATGTATAATAAATAAATAAATATTTTACACGTAGAAAATATTTATTTAACTGTTTATTCGTTGTTCGACTTAGTGCCAGTAGTCTTAGAGCTATTTTGTTGCAAGTGCATGATTCAATTTTAAATTATTTTTTTTAAAAACAATTAAAACAATGCATATAAAGATCGCCTTTACCGTCTGCGTGGTGTATTTCCTGACATCAACATGGGTAATACTATGATACTATATATTTATTATTATTTATCTCAGATATTACAAACTCAAAATTTAAACACATACCGATTATATTTGTTCAGTGTATTGTATGCGTGTAAATGTACCACGTCATCGGCAATAGGTTCACTCTGTACGGTCACTAATACAATAAATAGGTCGTCATACTTTATTTCAGAGCATGGGATTGAACAGTGTTCAATTAAAACAGTTCAAAAAATATTTTGAAAATCACAAAAAGTGTACCGGTGGAGTTAGCGAAGAGGAAATCGAACAAGTCGTGAAAGAATCCTTTGGAATAGAATGGAAACAATCTGACATTTATTTTGGATACAGCTCAGGTAACATGTTGCTAAACAATTATTTTGCCTGTCTGTTCGCTCTCGGATAATTTAAGTCTACCGTTATGACCGTTTAGACCAATTCCTTCGAGTTGCAACTCTAAAAATTACAAATTTTATCTAATTAGTATTTTAAGGGGTACAAGTTAGTTTCATTACACTTAAAATTAGAAAACATACATGTTTTATAGATTTAACTTTTACTAGCTATAAATTCGAGAAAAAGTAATCACACACTGAGATAGAGAACATTGAACCACTTGAAGAAACAGAAAACATAACCTCCGAGGGACGTCCTCAAAGGAACAAACGAGCACTCAAACATTTACAAGATTTTATTTGTTTATAAATACTTACATTTATAATTTATTTTGTTATTTAATGTGTATTTTTTTAAGTTTTGTATAATATATGTTTTTTGGACCGAAGACGGTCCTAGGCCAGAATGGCCGATTGTGAGCAATTGGTTAACATTGGTAACACTGGTCAGGAGTGACCACGCTTGTGATTAACAGTTGTTTTCAGTTAGTCGTTTTTGTACTGCCGTGTTGTGCCGTTAATTTGTTAATATCTTATAAATAATATACAGAAATTGGTTTGTCTTTTTTTAATTTTAAATTGTTTAATTTATTTGTTAATAAATCACAAATTTTATCTTGTCAGTATTTTAAGGGGTACAAGTTAAAATAGTTAATTTCTTTACCCTTAAAATTAAAAAACATACATGTTTTATAAATTCAACTTCACTTTTATTTATAATTGCTGTAGAGCTCTCACCTCTCCGTACCTACTATGCTTTGATTCCATTAGGCCTCAATCTCACTGTATTAGCTAACTCGGATAACACTATGAATAACCGCTTTACCGATAATTTTATACAATGCACCTCACATTAATACTTTCTTTATATGCTGGTTTAAACTGTTTTATTACTAGCCATTATTGCTTATAATATATCGGGCAAAGAGACTCTGTTATAACTATTTTATGAAAAATTAATGACTTAATTAACAACTAACTGATTTGATTACAGATGAGCCTGATTCTATGAATTTATTTTATTTATTGGGTGCATTGGCGGAAAAAGACAACAAGATACCCGACAATATCATCTCCGAAACGGTATTCAAGTTCTCAAATCGACTAACTTATACTATAAATTAAACATATAACAACTATTATTAATGTTAGAAATCAGCTAAAAATTTAATATATTTATCAAATTATTTGATTATACAGTGTGTTAAAGAAATAGGCATCAAGAGCTCCGACAATATCATCATCGACAAGGTATTCAAGGTCTTAAATGAACTAAATTAAATATATACCAACTATTGACAAATATCAAAATTTTCTCTTGAAAGAATTCCGCTTTAGTGGTGTTTTTTTCAGAGAAAATTAGTGTTTTATCATTAATGAAACACCCTATGATTTAAAGTATACAATTTAGGACGGGAGATGGAATACAGTTGTGTGATGTTAAAGTTTATAATCTTTAAAAGTAGTTGCGGAAAACTGGGTTTCGACCAGTCGAAAGTTGCAGCAATATTTTTGTCATTAGAAAAATGATTAAATTATATTAAAACATATTAACATAAAACTTGAGTTCATAGGACTCTACACATTAGGGATGGTGTTTTATTTATTGAAAATGCAGTTTTAAAAAAGTCTATGATATTTTTAAGATAGTGGTTAGGTTATTGCTGATATAAGAAATCACTCTGTATAAAAAATGTTTTCAGGGTGAAATACTTACGCCTTTCGAAGTATACTTTTACCTGGATGAGTTTATTGCATGCGCCATGTCTCATCGGCAACCGGGATATCTTACTCTTCAACAGCTATCGAAAGTCTTTAAGTATTGGACAACGATAAATAGTAGATTGAACGCAAAATCAAAAGAACTTGAAATCGAAAAAGGCGGTAATGCATATAAGCCGAGGAGGCGGTTCACCTCCTCCATGATGTAAAAATAGTTTTATTTAAATTTTTTTCAATTTTAGTTCGCTATGTAATAAACACGGCCGACTTCTTGTTGATCATGTTGGAAATCAAACCGGAAGTAAGTACAATGTCCGTGCAAACAAAAAAGTTGAGGAATTATAATCTCTGTATACATTGAATGTACAACTTTTAGTAGAATCTGCTTAAAATAAGTATTTTCCAAAAATAAATAAAACAGGCGATTTCGTTGTTTTATTTATTTTAAAATTATGTGTAATACTTAACCCATTTTCGTAGTCACTGTGAATTTTTATGTAAACAACAAGCCGAATTTCTTTCATATTTTATAAGATGAAGAGTTCAATGACGTTTTGCTGTGTCGCAGTCGGCTGTCCGCGCTCAAAAATAAACAGGGTTTCCCTGAACTATTTTTGGCACGGGTCGTAGCCATCCGCGGCTGCTTTCCGTCCGGCCGGTCAGTCCGTCGGATGGTTTAAAACACGACCCGATGGGCTGACCGGCCGTCAATTTCGCAAAGTGTTTCATAGTGGTCTATGTTCTAAACTGTCTCATTGAATATAACCTTTGGTGACGTGAAAGAGTTGTGTGTTTCTTTATTTTAATTTAAGAAGTTTCTCCGCTCGGTAGAGTACTGTTACAGCTGTAGCGGCATTACAGCTTAGCTGATTCTTACAGTTAACATATGACACAAAAAAAACGTCTATCTTAAAATATCATACAAGTCATTTTGTAGGGTTCTTATTTCAGATTTCTGTTTTTTTTTTAACTGTAAAAATATTGCTCAATCCAGGGATATAGACATTTGGGGATTTATCGTTTGAATAGAATTTTATCGATATGAATGGTGGGAGATATATAAAAAGTTTAAGTTTTTTAAGCTTTTATTAGTAATTTTTTTGGTACATTGTAGGGCCGCGGTCTGACCCTAGCACAATTAAAAATGTTTGTTGCTTTGTACGAAAAACACAAGACAAGTAAACAAGTGTTTCAAGATCTTGGTAGAAAAATGGAGTTTGGCTGTTGCAAAAAACAAAAGACTACTGGTTTGGCGATCACCATTGATCCTGATGAAAGTGAAAAAGTGTTCAATGAGCTTGGTATAACCATAGACGACGAATTGGAACTGCTATTTAAATCCGAACGTAAGAATTATTTTTATATTATATTAGGTATGAAAAGTAATTGGAAAACTACTAATTATTAAAACTCGCACAGTACCCGCTGGAAAATTGTTGATGTATTTAATCATCGTTGCGGCAGAACGCAATACGGCGGTCGAGGATAATGTAATATCGTTCATTATTTTTTTTTTATAATTTCAAAGACCTTCGCTGTTATTTTTTTTTACACCTACTCATCAGTAATAACTATATATTTTGATATTAACGATTGCTTAGGAATTGATAGTTTTAAGTCCAAGCGAGGTCGTATTTGCCATAAAAGAGTTCAACAAGATGAAAATCGACAACGATGGTTTAGTGTCCCCTTATGGGTTTGCCAGCTTCAAGGCAGAGTCCAGCATTATTTTAGAATCGAAATGTTCGAAAGAAGCCAGACAGTATTTTTGGAAATTAGATGGTGAAGTTATTTTAAACAGTGTGATAAAATTATGATCGTTGGTGATCGCCGGATAAAAAATAATGTTTTTTCTTTTTTTAGGTATTAACACATTAAACGTAGCGGAATACATGGAAATTTTATCGTTCGTTGAAAAACATGTCGAAAGTGAACCGGAAGATGTCATATTCGAATTTAGATCCGATGACGATATGTATGGTAGCTTCGAGAACGACCACTTTATGACATACGGTAATGGTACCGATAGTGATAACGATTGTGATTTTACCATCGAAAACGACGAAGCCAAGGCGTTCTGGAAGTTGTGGTGATGGTGTGGATATTGATGACTCACATTCTTATTATTCTTAATATTATTTACACATTTTCAATAACCATATTGTTAATAATTATATTTCAAGCATTTTTATGTGTGTATTAATTAAAATATTACGCTCTTCGGTGACTAATAAAAAAAAAAAATATTATCTGATTTCTAATTTTTTTATATTTACAAACAAAAAAAAATGTTGTGAGGACCGATAGGTCATAATTTTTAAATTATTATTTGTAATTTCAGTAACAAATCGAATATTGCCTAAAAATTAAGAAATTAAGATATTGTTGTAATTATGAAAATTAAATTGTTTATCTATAACTCTTTAGAATAGCCCAAAAATATATTTGGTTTTTTTTTCTGCAATGAATTTTTGTAATTAAATGTTTACACTAAACAATTTACTTTTGAAAAAAGCACTTATAAATATCAATATGTATATTGTATATTGTAAATATCAATAACGACGACCCCATGACATGTGGTGATGGTACCGATAGTGATGACTCACATTCTTAAGCAATATTATTTAGACATTTTCAATAACCATATTGTATATTTCAAGTATTTTTATGTGTGTATCAATTAAGATATTACGCACTTCGGTGTTTAATAAAAAAAAATTATTATCTGATTTTTAATTATTTTATATTTACAAGCAAAATAAAGATATTGTTGTAGTTCAGAAAATTGAATTGTTTATCTATAACTCTTTAGAATAGCCAAAAAATATATTTGGTTTTTTTTCTGTTATGAATTTGTTTAATTAAATTTTTACACTTAACAATTTACTTTTGAAAAAAGCACTTAAAAATATCAATATATATTAGCTTCGATGCGGAGTTGAGAAGGTATTGGATTTACAATGATGTGTTTTTTTTTGTGTGGCATCGAAGCTTTCGAAAACGGTTAAATCACTTTTAAATTAAATTCCCTCCTTGAACCTCTATGCTAATTTATAATTGAGCTTGGTTTAAACTGTACTAGTTTGGATTGCACTGGTTTGAATTTTGCCTGGTTTGAATTTGGTTTGCATGATTTTTTTTCTCTTGAGCCTAAGTAACTGTCACAGAACATACATACATATCCCTATAATTAAAACAGATATAAATGTTATACGGTTTTGAACTTCTGGTTAATCGTCACTCTTTGAAAGTTATTTTCAATTTGAAAGTGATTTTATAATTTTTTTAAAACTGGACCAATTCCCTCGAAAGATGTTTACATTATTTAAAATTGTAGATAATTTTCGATTGTTTTCAAAGTAATTGACATTTCAAATAAAAAGGCTACATGTTTAAATAGTTTTTGCAGTAAAATTTAATTTTTAAGAACATTTTTTTTTCAAAGTCAACATTGGGTCAACAACATCGAGAAAACAAAAAGTCTTATTGTATTTACAAATAAGGAACAAAGCGTTTTTGTGAAAGTGATTTTGGCACTGTAATTTATAATAATTTCTGTAGACCTGTGATTTCTCCGTCCCCACGTTGTTTTGATTCCATAGTGCATAGTGTACTGTACTAGTCCTCTCGGATAAAATCACTTTTAAATTAATGCTTTGATTCTTATTTGTAAATACAGCACCTCAATTAAATACTCCCTAACTTAGACTAACCTGGACTGTACTGGCTCGAAAATACTAACTACTGATTTGCATCGAAGCGTTTATTCGAAAAGTGATTTTATCACGTTCAGATTTAAAAATTCCTGTAATTCTGTGACCTCCCCGTCCCAAGTATTATCCGACCTCATCATGTTCCGTCCCACTAAACTTCGACCTCACTTTACTGGCTTTTTTTGGAATATTTCTGGAATAACATTGTCTTATTAAAAATTGTCTCCTAAAATAGCAACATTTAAATTGCAATTGCAAATATTAATATCTGCTCTCATCACGGTACCATCCCGTTAATGATATTAAATTGTTATTAACTTTCTACAATTATAATGTTCCAATAAATAAATAGCCTAAAAGCCAAAAATGTTGGCCGTATCGAGTGATCGAGAGTTAGTCACGGATTTTTTCAACTTTATTGTAGTTAAATGGGATAAAACCATAATTCATATAATTACATGCCGGAGCGCCGGCAATAAAATAATAAAATGTTTTTCCTATACGCGTTGACTTTTGTCAACACAGGTAAAAATAAAAATATTACTTGTAGTCAAAAAATAAGAAGCACTATTGCAAACATTAGTGCTCAAAAAATTGTACTATAGTACAAAAAAAATAAACATGGTTTGTAATTGTATAGCAAATGACATATCAAACTTATGGTATCGTTTATGTATAACAGTGCAATCGAATACAATATCCAAGAACTTAACATAATAAGGTTCAGCAAACATTGTTTTTTTGCGCTTGTGTCAACGCAACACCGAAACCACGTAGAAAATATTTATTCAACTGATTATTAGTTGTTCGACTTGGTGCCAGTAGTCTTAGAGCTATTTTGTTGCAAGCGCTTGATTCAATTTTAAATTATTTTTAAAAAAAAAAACAATTAAAACAATGTATATAAGGATCGCCCTTACTGTCTGCGTGGTGTATTTCCTGACATTGACATGGGTAAGACTATGATACTATATATTTTAATTATTTATCTCAAAAATTAAATACACACCTATTATATTTGATCAGTGTATTGTATGCGTGTAAATCTACCACGTCGGTTAGGTCAGGTAATAGGTTCACTCTGTACGGTCACTAATACAATAAATAGGTCGTCATACTTTATTTCAGAGCATGGGATTGAACAGTGTTCAATTAAAACAGTTCAAAAAATATTTTGAAAATCACAAAAAGTGTACCGGTGGAGTTAGCGAAGAGGAAATTGAACAAGTCGTGAAAGAATCCTTTGGAATAGAATGGAAACAAACTGACATTTATTTTGGATACAGCTCAGGTATTTTGTTGCTAAACAATTATTTTGCCTATCTGTTCGCTCTCGGATAATTTAAGTCTACCGTTATGACCGTCAAGACCAATTCCTTCGAGTTGCAACTCTAAAAATCTGTTAGCACTGACAATCATTGGTAACACTGGTCAGGAGTGACCACGCTAGTGATCAACAATTGTAGTTAGTTAGCCGTATTGTGCCGTTAATTTGTTAATATGTTATAAGTAATTTACAGAAATTGGTTTGTCTTTTTTTAAATTAACATCTGAATAGTTCTGTAATTTTTCTTTGGTTGTGAATTGTGTTGTTTTCGGACTTACCGAGAAGTGTCGATACCGCAAGCCCCATCGTACAGTGAACTATTTTCCAAATTGCGAGAACTACGCGCTAAAATTGATACGCTCGAAGCCGCCGAATCGTCCAACATCGATACGATTGAGTATCGTTTATTGCCCGATTTAAATCGTTCTGTGTCGTATACGCACTTTGGAACATGAACCGTTAAACACACACACACACACACACTGTAAATAAAATTACTTAATACCTTTTACCTAAACACTAAAGTGACATTTTAGTAAGTGCGCATAAATGTGGCAGAGCTTTGTAGTCACCTTCCGGATTGTTTCTGCCTCAGGTGTTTTTCCGTCCAACGAGCAAGCCTCTGGTTATAAATAGTATAATGCCTCGGGACAATTATATTGTCTAGCTTTATAACTATAATAACCGGGTTGGTAGCTTGAACGCGAGTACTGACACTAGCAAAGAAACAAGAGCCGTACTGTGGCTTCCTCGGGAGATGCGGTCTTTAACACAATACACTTAATATAAAAGAACGCTTAGTTCGAATTACCTTAAAATCGATGTGAGAAAAGGTAACACTTTTAAATTAAGTAAAAGAAAAGTAACTCAAAAGTTAATAAACACGCATGCAATTATAATATTCGTAAAAACAATGTAAAAACAATAATGCACGCGACAATACTTTCCTCGTAACAGAACGGTCGCTTACGGTAGAGTGCATCCGACAAAGTAATTTGGGCGGCCTTAAATAATAAACATTATTGAAACTTTTACTGTGTAGACAATTTTGTATAGTTTTGTTTCGATTGTTTGGCCTACATTTCATTGCTTTTTTGCTAATATACATTTGTCTTTAAGAACTATACTACAGGCCCCGTTGTTTTTAAGAAAATATGCCCTCATATTTTAAACCTATACAATAATAAAAATTTTTATAAATAAAAAAAAATTCAAAATTTTAAGTTAAGTATCAAGGCTGTATAGGATGATGTTTATGGATAGATTGAAGGATTTTTTTTAAAAATATTTTTACCTCGTCTTGTTCTACCCATTTATTAGTTACTTTATTTTTTTTTTGAAAACATATGAATATATTTTTGCATTCATTTGTAAATTATTTGTTTTTTTTTTTATGTAGTTAAAAGGAGAAGACTAGTTCTTTTTTTTTGTTAAGTGAATATGGGAAAATCTGTAGTTGTTGATAGGAAAGTGTGTGGATTCATTAGCCTGTATATTTTTTTTTTATATACAAATACTTAAAATTTAATGCCTCTTTTTTTTTATCAAACATTTTCCCTTTAAAAATCTAATTCCCGTTTTCTTAAAATTAAAAAAAACATTTTCTTTTAAATTCTAATTCCCTTTTCTTAAAATTAAAAATTGTTTTCCTTAAAATCTATTTCCCGTTTTCTTAAAATTGAAAAAAAAAATTCGCTTAAAATTGAATTCAATATTTACATTATTTTTTTGTCCACTCCTTGGTTATGAAATCTACCAGCGCTCCAGATCTTTCCATTATTTTGTTTTCTAACTCTATTTTGGATTTTCTGGTTGCTGTAGTTGTGGTTGTTGTTGTTTCTGCTTTCGTTGTGGCTGTTGTTGTTGTTGCTGCTGTCGTCGTGGCTGTTATTGTTGTTGTGATTGTTGGTGTTCTTGTTGCTATTGTTGTGGCTGTTGGTACTGTTGGTGTTGTTGAAGCTGTTGTTGTTATGGTTCCAGATTCGGTTAGTATATCCTTCAAATTCTATTGTTCTCGTCTTTGTTCCTTTCTTTTCTTCCATTTTCTTGATTGTTTTTCTGGTTTTTTTTTTCTGTAAGTACTGCACTCCGTTTGGTTGGGCCATTTTCGCGATACTGATTTAGTTTTCTTGAGCTGGCTGTTGTTGTGTCTGTTTGTCAGCGGTTTTGTTGAGTGTCATGGGGGTTATTATTATTATTATTATTTTTTTTATGGTTTATGCTGATTTACTTTAAAGAGAGGTTTGTTTAGGTGGTATTGGAGGGGGTAATGTCATGAAGTCTACCTTAATCATTACTGGATATATTTTATAACATATAAATGCCATCATTAGAGTCAGCAATGTTAGCCGTGTTAAGTAAATGATGTCTCCTAGAAATTCATCTATGAAAGGTTGTGGAATTTTCTTTAAAATTAAATTTTCGAAGTATTCGTCTGGGGTTGCTAATTGTTTAGTTACATAAATATTTGGAACATTGGTTGCCCATTTATTATTTAAAATTTCGGTTATATTTGTTAAGTATAATTGTGGTTTATGTTCATAGTTGGAAGAGGTTTTTAAAGATTTAATATTTGTCCAGGATATTGGTAAAACTCGATGAAAATCTAGTTTATTATTGTTACTTAATTCGCATGGGTACATTTTAGGAATAAGAACTTCATCATTTCTTAATAATTTATTATTACAAGGTAATACATCATGTAGGACGTCAATGTTTAAAATTCTAGGTGGGATTTCTCCCATTTTGCAATGTAGGTGAGTGTTAGTTTCCCTTTCATAATTAATAAGATTTAATATGGCTGTCAAAATGTTAAAGTTTATTTCCTGAATTCCCTGAATCATATTTTCGTTGTTAGCGTTTTCAATTTTTTTGTTATTTTTTACTTCTTGTACGAATTGTTTAAAAGTTTCTTTTAATAATCCTAATCTATCACTAGTAGAAGTTGTGTAGTTATTTAATTGTGATGCTATTCTAGTTAAAGCGATATGATCTGATACAAATACATTTTTAAATTTGTCCATTTGTTCTTTTAACATTTCTTCATTAGTGTAAAAGTTTTTAATTTGTTTTTCTGTTGCTACATTACAACAAAAATGATAAAAGTTTCCTATAAATTGAATCACTCTATTATTTCGTTTACCTGAATTTGATATTTTGTTGAAAACATTATCTATACCTCTATTATTATCTATAATATTACTATTGACATTCTTTAATAAAGATAAGGTTTAAATAATAATATAAAAACAAAACAACATCAAAAACGCCATTCGAGGCCATACATGGTTACCAACCTCGCTTTCATGGTACTGTTTTGTTTTCTTTGGGCCGTACTAAAGATGATTGGACCAGTCCTGATAAACAGCAGCAACAAATAAGGGAAGAAATTTTGGATAAGCAACACCATATGAAAAAGTTGTATGACCGAAAACATTTCAACGGAACAAAGTTTGACGTGGGAGAAGTAGTAGTGATGGAACGACAGCCGATAGTTGGTCAACCATCGAAACTGCAGGCGAATTATAGAAAGTGACCATTACAAAATATCGAAGTACTTCCAAATGACACTTACAGAGTGGCTGAACTGGTAAATGACGGAAAACATCAATATGCCACCACTGCCTACGTATCCCAATTGAAGTCATGGAAAATATTGAGAGAAGACGAAGAGGACACTGATCGAGAGGATGATGAATCACACACTGAGATAGAAAACATTGAACCACTTGAAGAAACAGAAAACATAACCTCCGAGGAACGTCCTCAAAGGAACAAACGAGCACTCAAACATTTACAAGATTTTATTTGTTTATAAATACTTACATTTGTAATTTATTTTTGTTTTGTTATTTAATGTGTATTTTTTAAAGTTTTGTATAATATATGTTTTTTGGACCGAACACGGTCCTAGGCCAGAATCGCCGATTGTGAGAAATAACAAACAGTGGTAACACTGGTCAGGAGTGACCACGCTAGTGATTAACAGTTGTTGTCAGTTATAGTAAAGATATAAAATCTACTTGAACCCTAAACCATAAAAATTATACACTTCTTGAATAGCCGCTTTACCGATAATTTTATACAATGCACAATTTTACACAATGTAGTCAGTTAGTCATTTTTGTACTGCCGTATAGTGCCTTAATTTGTTATAAGTAATGTACAGAAATTGGTTTGTCTTTTTTTAATTTTAAATTGTTTAATTTATTTGTTAATAAATCACAAATTTTATCTTGTCAGTATTTTAAGGGGTACAAGTTAAAATAGTTAATTCCTTTACCCTTAAAATTAAAAAACATACATGTTTTATAGATTCAACTTCACTTTTATTTATAATTGCTGTAGAGCTCTCACCTCTCCGTACCTACTATGCTTTGATTCCATTAGGCCTCAATCTCACTGTATTAGCTAACTCGGATAAAATCACCTATGAATAACCGCTTTACCGATAATTTTATACAATGCACCTCACATTCTTTATATGCTGGTTTAAACTGTTTTATTACCAGCCATTTTTGCTTATAATATATCGGGCGAAGAGACTCTGTTACAACTAATTTATTAAAAATGTATGACTTAATTACCAACTAACTGATTTGATTACAGATGAGCCTGATTCTATGAATTTATTTTATTTATTGGGTGCATTGGCGGAAAAAGACAACATAATACCCGACAATATCATCTCCGACAAGGTATTCAAGTTCTCAAATCGACTAACTTTAACACTTAATTAAACATATAACAACTATTGTTAGAGCTCCGACAATATCATCATCGACAAGGTATTCAGGGTCTTATATGAACTAAATTAAATATATACCAACTATTGACAAATATCGAAATTTTCTATTGAAAGAATTCCGCTTAAGTGGTTTTTTTTCAGAGAAAATTAGTGTCTTATCATTAATGAAACTCCTTATGATTTAAAGTATACAATTTAGGTCAGGGGATGGAATACAGTTGTGCGATAATAAAGTTTATAATCATAAAAAGTAGTTGCTCAAAACTGGGTTTCGACCAGTCGAAAATTGCAGCTAATTATTTGTCATTAGAAAAATGATTAACATATGTTATAACATATTAACATAAAACTTGAGTTCATAGGACTCTACACATTAGGGATGGTGTTTTATTTATTGAAAATGCAGTTTTAAAAAGTCCAAGATATTTTTAAAATAATGATTAGGTCATTGCTGTTATAAGAAATCACTCTGTATAAAAAAAGGTTTTCAGGGTGAAATACTTACGCCTTTAGAAGTATACTTCTAATTTAAATTTAATGTGCGGCGCTCCCATATGATTTTGTTATTATTCTTTTTCTTACTATTATTATAGTTATAAATCAGCTGAAAATTAAATATATTTATCAAATTATCTTATTATACAGGATGATAAAGAAAAAGACAACAAGATCCCCGACCAGGTATTCAAGTTTTCAAATCAATTAGCTTATACTCTAAATTAAACATGTCCAACTATTCGCAGATATTTAAATTTAAATTTAATGTGCGGCGCTCCCATATGATTTTTTTTATTATTCTTTTTCTTACTATTATTATAGTTATAAATCAGCTAAAAATGTAATATATTTATCAAATTATCTTATTATACAGGACGACAAAGAAAAAGACAACAAGATCCCCGACAGTATCATCATCGACGAGGTATTCAGGGTCTCAAATAAACTAGCTTATACTTTAAATTAAATAGATACCAACCATTGACAAATATTGAAATAATTCAAATAATAGGGATCCAGTAGTGTTTTTTTTTTTGATAAAATTAATGTCTTATCTATAATAAATCATCCTATGAATTAAAGTTCAAAATGTGGAATACAGTTGTGAGGTATTAAATTGTATTATTTTAACAAGTAGTTGCTCAAAACTGGGTTTCGACCAGTCGAAAATTGCAGCAAGTTATTTGTCATTAGAAAAATGATTAACATATGTTATAACATATTAACATAAAACTTGAGTTCATAGGACTCTACACATTAGGGATGGTGTTTTATTTATTGAAATTGCAGTTTTAAAAAGTCCAAGATATTTTTAAAATAATGATTAGGTCATTGCTGTTATAAGAAATCACTCTGTATAAAAAAAGGTTTTCAGGGTGAAATACTTACGCCTTTAGAAGTATACTTTTACCTGGATGAGTTCATTGCATGCGCCATGTCTCATCGGCAACCGGGATATCTTACTCTTCAACAGCTATCGGAAGTATTTAAGCATTGGACAACGATAAATAGTAGATTGTACGCGAAATCAAAAGAACTTGAAATCGAAAAAGGCGGTAATGCATATAAGCCGAGAAGGCGGTTCACCTCCTCCATGATGTAAAAATAGTTTTATTTAAATTTTTTTCAATTTTAGTTCGCTATGTAATAAACACGGCCGACTTCTTGTTGATCATGTTGGAAATAAAACCAAAAGTAAGTACAATGCCCGTGCAAACAAAAAAGTTGGGGAATTATAATCTCTGTATACATTGAATATACAACTTTTAGTAGAATCTGCTTAAAATAAGTATTTTCCAAAAATAAATCAAACAGGCGATTACGTCGTTTTATTTATTTTAAAATTATGTGTAATACTTTAAAAATCTATACACTATTAACTAATGCGAAATAAAATCGGTTAACAATTTACAACTGAAAAAAGAAAAAGTAAGTGAGTAGTAGAAGCAGTAGTGATGGTAGTACGCGAGGAAGTAAGAGTTATTCGGTGTTCACAGATAAAAATGAACACGTATATCGAAACAAATGTAGTAATTTAATTTGATCCTTTTTCTATAAAAATGTATCGTAATAGTTACACTTATAATTAACAATATAATGAACATATTTTCATTGCCTGTTAACTGTTGATTCACTCACACATAGCAACCTGGAAATGGATAGAAAAAAATAGTAAAAATAACTAAAAAGTAAAAGAGGGCCCAAATATTCTGTTTTTGATTTTATGTTCTTAATTTATATTTTTCGAAATAATGCAAATTTTTCAATCTTTTAGCACTTTTTATGTTCTTGTATTATGATGTATAAATAAATAAATAAAAAATAATTTTACTACAAGAAAAATTTACCAAACAATTGTATCACATTTTAATTAAAAGGTCAATTAGGTACCTTGAAAACAATCAAAAATTAAAAGCTAGGGCCTGTTCAACAAAGTCCTTAATAAATATATGAGATAACATTTTTCAATGAATTTGGACTTTGTTGAATAGGGCCCAAGCTTTTTTTTAGTCAAAAATTAAAGATTGAAAGACTTGCCACTATTAACGAAATTAAAATACAAAAACATAAAAAGGACAAATATATTAAAACAATGAAAAAAAAAATACAAAATTCGCAATCATTAGAAAAATGTAAATATACATAAAGAACATAAGATCTAAGCATGTTTTTAAAAAAGGTTTTTTTTGAATAATTAATTTTTTTTTTACTTATCAGTTCTATTAAAGGTACTTAATAGTTAATAATTATTAAATTAATTTAGGAGAATTTACAAAAAAGCATGACATTTCAGTGAAATGACCGCCATATTTGACCACTCCCACTCTCGGCATTTACGATCTGTATGTCCAAGTTCTAATATTATGACGGTTTTAAATTACAATTTTTTCCTACTAAACCCTTTTTCGTAGTCACTGTGAAGTTTTATGTAAACAACAAGCCGAAATTCTTCCATATTTTATAAGATGAAGAGTTCAATGATGTTTTGCTGGAGCGGCATTACAGCTTAGCTCACGATAAGTCAGTCATCCTGTATATAATACCAAATAATATTAAAAACCTTTAAATATTATTATAAATATTATTTTATTATATATAGCCATAAATTGCCGAAGTTTTGTTTAGATTAAAACTTGAATATCTTAAAAAAAAAAAAAACAATTTGGATCGTGAAATATCATGCAAGTCATTTAGTATTGTTTTTATTTCAGATTTCGAAATTTTTTTATTTGTAAAAAATATTGCTCAATCTAGGGATATGGACATTTGGGGATTTATTGTTTAAATAGAATTTTATCGATATGGAGGGTGGGAGATTAATAAACAGTTACATTTTTTTTAAGCTTTTATTTATGTTTTTTTCGTACATTGTAGGGCCGTGGTCTGACCCTGCCACAATTAAAAATGTTTGTTGCTTTGTACAAAGCACACCAGACATCCAATGGAATTAATGCTGAGGCAAGTAAACAAGTGTTTCAAGTGCTTGGTATAAAAATAGAAGACGATTTGGAACTGTTATTTAAATCCGAACGTAAGAATTATTTTTATATTATATTAGGTATGAAAAGTAATTGGAAAACTACTAATTATTAAAACTCGCACAGTACCCGCTGGAAAATTGTTGATGTATTTAATCATCGTTGCGGCAGAACGCAATACGACGGTCGAGGATAATGTAATATCGTTCATTATTTTTTTTTATAATTTCAAAGACCTTCGCTGTTATTTTTTTTTACACCTACTCATCAGTAATAACTAACTTTTTTTTTGATATTAACGATTGCTTAGGAATTGATAGTTTTAAGTCCAAGCGAGGTCGTGTTTGCCATAAAAGAGTTCAATAAGATGAAAATCGACAACGATGGTTTAGTGTCCCCTTATGGGTTTGCCGGCTTCAAGGCAGAGTCCAGCATTATTTTAGAATCGAAATGTTCGAAAGAAGCCAGACAGTATTTATGGAAATTCGATGGTAAAGTTATTTTAAACAGTGTGATAAAATTATGATCGTTGGTGATCGCCGGATAAAAAATAATGATTTTTTCTTTTTTAGGTATTAACACATTAAACGTAGCGGAATACATGGAAATTTTATCGTTCGTTGAAAAACATGTCGAAAGTGAACCAGAAGATGTCATATTCGAATTTAGATCCGATGACGATATGTATATTAGCAGCGATAGTGATAACGATTGTGATTTTACCATCGAAAACGACGACCCCAAGACATGTGGTGATGGTACCGATAGTGATAACGATTGTGAGTTTACCACCGAAAACGACGTCCCCAAGACATGTGGAGATGGTGTCGATATTGATGACTCACATTCTTAAGCAATATTATTTAGACATTTTCAATAACCATATTGTATATTTCAAGTATTTTTATGTGTGTATCAATTAAGATATTACGCACTTCGGTGTTTAATAAAAAAAAAATTATTATCTGATTTCTAATTATTTTATATTTACAAACAAAATAAAGATATTGTTGTAGTTCAGAAAATTGAATTGTTTATCTATAACTCTTTAGAATAGCCAAAAAATATACTTGGTTTTTTTTCTGTTATGAATTTGTATAATTAAAATTTTACACTTAACAAATTACTTTTGAAAAAAGCACTTATAAATATCAATATATATTAGCTTCGATGCGGAGTTGAGAAGGTATTGGATTTACAATGATGTGTTTTTTTTTGTGTGGCATCGAAGCTTTCGAAAACGGTTAAATCACTTTTAAATTAAATTCCCTCCTTGAACCTCTATGCTAATTTATAATTGAGCTTGGTTTAAACTGTACTAGTTTGGATTGCACTGGTTTGAATTTTGCTTGGTTTAAATATGGTTTGCTTGATTTTTTTTCTCTTGAGCCTATGTAACTGTCACAGAACATACATACATATCCCTATAATTAAAACGGATATAAATGTTATCCGGTTTTGAACTTCTGATTAATCGTCAGACTTTGAAAGTTATTTTCAATTTGAAAGTGATTTTTATCATTTTTTTAAAACTGGACCAATTCCGGCATCGTTGCGGCAGAACGCAATACGGCGGTTGAGGATAATGTAATATCGTTCATCATTTTTTTTTATAATTTCAAAGATCTTCACTGTTATTTTTTTTATACCTACCCATCAGTAATAACTATATATTTTGATATTAACGATTGCTTAGGAATTGATAGTTTTAAGTCCAAGCGAGGTCGTGTTTGCCATAAAAGAGTTCAATAAGATGAAAAACAACAAAAATGGTTTACTGTCCCCTGAAGAGTATGCCGGCTTCGAGGTAGAGTCAAGCACTATTTTAAAATCAAAGAAACGGTCGGAAGAAGCCAAGCAGTATTTAACGAAATTCGATGGTGAAGTTATTTTAAACAGTGTGATAGTGTTATGATCGTTGGTGATCGCCGGATAAAAAAAATGATTTTTCCTTTTTTAGATATTAAAACATTAAACGTAGCGGAATACATGGAAATTTTATTGTTCGTTGAAAAACATGTCGAAAGCAAACCAGAAGATATCATATTCGAATTTGGACCCGATGACGATGTGCATTTTTGGTTCAAAAACGGTTTGACATACGGTCATGGTTCCGATAATGATAATGATTGGGATTTTACCAACGATAACGACGAAGCCAAGGCGTTGTGGAAGTTGTGGTGATGGTGTGGATATTGATGACTCACATTCTTATTATTCTTAATATTATTTACACATTTTCAATAACCATATTGTTAATAATTATATTTCAAGTATTTTTATGTGTGTATTAATTAAAATATTACGCTCTTCGGCGACTAAAAAAAAAAAAAAATATTATCTGATTTCTAAATTTTTTATATTTACAAACAAAAAAAAATTTTGTGAGGACCGATAGGTCATAGTTTTTAAATTATTATTTGTAATTTCAGTAACAAATCGAATA